GGGAATTCCTGGCTGGGGAATTCTGGGGGTTGAAGTCCACCCATCTTCAAGTTGCTAAGGTTGAGAAACACTGGCCTAGAGTAACCTGAGGCTGTGGACGCAGGTCCAGGTATCTCCAAAAGGTGCAATCAACTTTGTTAAACTGATGTCCTGCTTCCAGGAACTCAAGGTAGTATCCCTAGCACTCCGTCCTTCCATTTTTTCCTGGGACAACAATCCTGAGAAGTAGGTCAAAGAAAGGGAGAGGCAAAGAAAGAGAAGGGCCCAAACTTGCCCAGGGAGTTTTCATGGCTCAAGGTGAGCTTGAAACAAGATCCCCCTCCCCACATCCTAATCCAACTTCTTAACCACAGAACCTCCCTGGCTCTTAAAACTGCTAATTTGCAACGATCACATTACATATTAAAAAGAAAAGTCATTGTTAATGTAACGGGAGGGAGATGATAAAATGCATAGCTGCTCATATTCAAGTTAAAATGGAAATGAATTGAAATCAGGCATTTTATATTTTTACCTGCTGCACTAAAGAATCCCACGGACAGCCAAGAAAACAAATAAACGGATCATCGAACAAACCAGTCCAGGGTGAGGAAAATTAAGTTTTCAGATGAGTGGGTTTACATCAAACTGAAACAAGGAATTCGCAATAACCTTGGAGCTGGCTTATCGTCTAGTTCACACCAGTCTGTTGCAAATTTTATCAGAACATTCCCATGATAACGCATGAATCTGTCCTCAGGACGCCAGTAAAGACATCCTTCTGGCATTTGGCACGGTGAATTGCACTGTGAGGGAAATATACCTCTGGGTGAAAGAAGCAAGTTTTGGGGTGAAAGAAGCAAGTTTTTAGAGGCCTCAGATGAACAGGATCGCCTTAATAAAATGGAAACATAAAGGAACGTGCAGCACCCTTGAAGCTGGTGTGAACTAGGCTGGTTGCAAACTCCTTATCACAAACATCCCCGTATGCCCTTCCTGGCATTTGGCACCTTGAAGTAATTTGTTTCTTCTTCTCTCTGACGCTATTGTTTTCCTTGTAGATAGCCGATAACAGAGGGGCAGAAAGTAACTTGAGAAGTATTGCTTCTTTAGGTACGCCTGCATCGTCATAGGAATATGTATGAGTATGCGTTCTTTTTCCCTTCCCCTTCTCGTAGGAGTGTATAAACATCAGGGCATCCATTTTGCCTGCAGGGGAGTGTCTCCCATTAACCTTTAGTGGGGCCTCCCTCCAGTATGTCCCGCCTAATAAACACTGCAGTGAAGCCTTGATTATTTTGCCTTTGTGCCCTGCGTTTTGATTCCACAGCACCCTCCTTTTGACCTGTTTCTTCTCACTCAGACAATCGTTTTCTTTGAAGACAGTAGATAGCAGAAGAAGTAACCCGCTTGTTTCCTTGCTTAGGAATATGTACTCATGCATCATTTTCCCCTTTTCTGAAATGTAAAAATATCAGTTCATCTTTTTTGTTTAGAGGGGTGGCTCTCGCTATCCTTTTGGTGGGGTCCCCTCCAGTACATACTGTTTATGTAATAAACACTGCAATGAGCCTTGATTATCTGCTTGGGTCCTGTGCTTTGATTCCACACCAGGGCTCTCACTCAAGGCACCAATGACCAGGCTCAAATTCTCCTATTTGGACAAATTATGGGAAGACCATGTTCCCTGGAAAAGCCCGTAATGCTGGGGAAGGTGGAAGGAAAGAGAGAAGAGGACGACCAGCAGCAAGGGGGAGGGACTCAGTCACAGTCCATGGATGTGTTGTTGGAAGACCTGAAAAACCAGGTTAGGGGTAGATCATCATGGAGAAAAATACGTGGCCGCTAACAGTGAACAATAATTTAATGGCACATAATCAATCACCTACAGCACAATTCTAGATGAGGGAAAAGCTGAAGAGGAAATACGGTCATTCTGACAGATGTTCTAGATCCCACCAGCTGTCTGGCTCTTTGGCAACTCCCTTAAAGGGAAAGTGATTCTTTTTCAAGTCCAAGTCTCTTTAGCAAGATTTATTGAGAGAGACGGGATGGGGTGCCCTCCGGTTCTGTAGAGATCTCTTGCATATCACCCCAGCTAGCATTTCATAAAATACTGGGTTAAGGTTGCTCAGCGTTGCAGGTGGCTCTGTCCTTTCCGTTGCTTTTATAGTCTCACAAACACCCTGCAAGGCAGCCTAAGCAGAGGTCAGGATTGGCCTGATGGATTCCGGAGTCTCCGCATTCCTAGCCACCCCTGCCCTGGCTGGCAACCTTTCTGGCATGTGCCCAGAAGCAAAAGTGTGTTTTTGCTAGCAGGATTCTCGCAGAGTTTTCTTTAGCAAGACTTACTGAGAGAAAAGGGAGGGTATTACAAGAATTCCATCAACTGAACTAGTTCCCCTTTAGAACCAATTTATCCCCATGTATGTTAAAGTGAGACCTTCTGATGTCTTTTCTAACAGTCTTTCTGGCATCTGGGGAGGGAGTGGGACTTTTCCTTAAGAAGCTTGCAGTTGGCTTTATTTTTATTAACCAGCTGCAGTTCTAATGCTGGGAACAAGAACAAAACAGGAGCTTCTCATTGTTACATCTCACCAAGCAATGAAATTGTTAGAATCCCTGACTGGGACTCACTCAGGTGTACCTGCAACAACACAGAAAGGTAAGCAGGGATGGTAGAGGGCATCTAGTGGTGATGGCCACCACCAGTCTCACCTGGGAAATCAACATTGTGTGATAGGCCCCATAGCCATTTGGTGAGAACACCCACATCAGGTTCTCGACATTCCCAATATGCTCACCAGCCCCAAAGATAAACCTAGCCCTTCCCTGAAACAAGCTTCCTGCTGGCTGGATGTGAAGAAACCCTGCCATTTTCAGAAAGTGCATATTTGAGGAAAGGCTGTTGTAGGTTCAGGATGTGCAGAAAGAGAGGGAGAGAACAGCATTTGATTTACTCTCCCTTCAGTGTTCAAAACTGTAGCAGCTGATCAGGCAGCTTTGCAGGTCCATCCCAAACTCAAACCTAGAGTTCCACTGAGTTCACATAGAAGTTGGAGACAGATCCAGCTGCCAATTCTGCGGGGGATGGCTCATGCCTCGCCAGTGGGCGAATGACCTTCCCCCCTGAGCAGGGGCTCGAAAACAGGCCTTCCGTGTCCAAATCTGTGACCATGACAAGTGCAGAAAATCCTGGCAACGTGTCTGCGAAGCCCCTCTTGGTCGCTGGAGAGCCCTTGAAGGCCTTTCCCAAATGCCAGAGAATAGTTTTTCACGGCCTGGCCAGATGTCCAAGGGGCAGAGAGGGCCTAGCCAAGGAGACGGACAGGAGCTTTTGGCCCTTTGCTTGTTCACTGCTGCCACCGCCGCCGCCAGCGATGTGAGGCGTAGCCTGCGATGATCAGCCCTAAGAGGGATGCAGTGGCTCCGATGATGAACAGGGAATCTCTGTTGAAAGGGGCTGCAAAAGGAAAGGTGCACAAACAATGTACTCATTATTGTACGCAAAGACAGATGCGTCCATCGTCTAAGATCCCCTCTCCTTTCTCTGTCTACAGATGCGTAAGAGACTAAGATGAGCAACCTCCAGAGTTTAGAATCAGCTTCCGTTCTTACTGGTATCTTCAGCTGTATCCGGCAGATGTACTGACAGAGCTAAGCACAAAATAAGACCAGTGTTTCTCAACCTTGGCCACTTAAGCTGCGTGGACTTCAACTCCCAGAATTCCCCAGCCAGCCATGCTGGCTGGGG